CATGGTTAGATTCTGCATATCAAAGAACACCAATAGTTCAATATTTGAGGAAATCAAACAAAGTTTAATTTTGGACCCTTAGACCATTTCAAATATGGGGCCCAAAATCTTAAATCTAAAAACACAATACAGGATTAGATACAGCATATTAAAGAACTACATTCATTCAAGACTTTGAGTTAAACCACATTGAAATTGGTCAAGAAATAAGCAATTTATACAAAATATAAGAAAAGTATTGTAAAAAAATGAAAAAGCAATTCCAAATATTATTCCTCATTAATACAGTCTTTAAAAAATCTATAAAACTTACCTTAATTATTTTTCAAAATATCTAATAATGAATAGTAGATTTCAAACTAAATTTTTATATAATTTCTTCTCTAAAATTAGGTTTGATGCTATATCTATTTTTAACTATGACTCTACTTACAATTTTTATCAATTGTGCAATACAGCTCTGAATTTGGATTGTGATTATAACTGGACATGTATCAATTATGGTCCAATATCCAAATTCTAAATACATGGTTGAAATCAGCATATCAAAGAACCACAAGAATTCATTTTTTTAAGAAATCAAACAAAGTTTAATTTTGGACCCTTTGGGTCTCAATGTGGACCTATTTGATAACGGGACTCAAGTTCCAAAATCTAAATACGCGGTAAGAAACAGCATACCAAAAAGCCTCACATATTCAATTTGAAAACCTGGCCCAAAAATCAAAAATCTAAAACACTGTTAGATTGGGCTCATAAAAAACACCAATAATTCAATTTTTGATGAAATTTAACAAAGTTTAATATGAACCCCAATTTGGACCAACTTTGAAAACAAGGCCCAAAATCAAAATCTAAAAAAACTGAGATTGGGCATATCAAAGAACACAAATAATTCAATTTTTGATGAAATTAAACAAAGTTTAAGTTTGGACTCCATTTTGGACCAACTTGAATAATGTGCCCTAAATCGAAAATCGAAATACACGGTTAGATTCAGCATCTCAAAGAACACCAATAATTCAATTTTTGATGAAATTAAACAAAGTTTAATTTTGAACCCTTTGGACCATAATATGGATCAATTCTAAAACACGGCCCAAAATCAAAATTCTAAATACCCGGTTAGATTCAGCTTATTAAAGAACCCTATAAGAAATCAAGACTTTGAATTAAACCCCATTGAAATTTGTCAAGAAATAAACAATGTATACAAAGTATTACAAAAGTATTGTTTTGGACCCTTTCTTTTGAACCGTTAGGGTCATAACCCCTAAAACCAATCCAAACCTTCCTTTTATGGTATAACACCTTGTGGCATAATCAAATATCAATTCATAGACTTATACTCAAGTTATTGTCCTGAAACCAAAAAATCCTAGTTTTTTTTTGCCTCTTTTCAGTCCCGAATTCCTACACGGTTTGGGCCATCACCCCAAAATCAATCCTAACCTTCCATTTGGGGTATGGAACCTTGTGGTAAAATTTCATAGAGATCCATACTCTTATACACAAGTTATTGTCCTGAAACAAGAAACATTCTTGTTTTGGCCCCTAATTACTAAACAGCTACGACAATAACCCCCCAAAATCAATTCCAACCATCCTGTTGTGGTATGGAACCTTGTGCTAAAATTTCATAGAGATACCATTTCAATTTATATTTTATAGTGTGTCTTTCTATGTTGTGATGTTACACTTTTGTTTCAGGTAGGGTGAAGGTTGGCGCCTATTAAAGCGTTTAAACCCGCGGCATTTCTTTGCACCTGTTCTAAGTCAGGAATCTGATGTTCAGTGGTTGATGTTTGTTAATGTGGTTCATAAGTGTTTCTCGTTTCTCGTTTTTTATATAGATTAGACCATTGGTTTTCCTGTTTGAATGGTTTTATACTAGTCATTTTTGGGGCCCTTTATAGCTTGCTGTTCGGTGTGAGCCAAGGCTCCGTGTTGAAGGCCGTACTTTGACCTAGTAATGGTTTACTTTTACAAATTTTGACTTGGATTGAGAGTTATTTCATTGGCACTCATACCACATCTTCGTATTTCTACTTATACGCAAGTTATTGTGTGTGAACCATATTATTGTCTTCGAACCAGAAAAATGCTTGTTTTTGGCCCCTAATTACAAAACAGCTACGACAATAACCCTCAAAATCAATCCAAACCTTCCTATGTGTGTGCTAAAATTTTACAGAGATCCATACACTTATACTCAAGTTGTTGTCTGCTACCAAAATGTATTACGAACGCAAAAAAAAATGCGGTCGTATGAAAGGGTTACTAGACTGTTGTGCAGTAAATAGTCCAAATCACAGAGCTCCTAAACAACTCAGAAATATAAATGACTGTAGAGTATGCAGTCAAGAAGGTGAAAATAAATTCTATCAAGAGTGAAAGCTTTTGGGTCTTTGAGTTACAAGTATTAGTGGGTTTTGGTAGAGGCAATAAAAGTTAACCTTGAAACGAGCATACCGACCTTCCTTTGAAATATCCATTACTGGAACATCCATAATTTGCATGCGATTATATTTTTAAGGGTTTGATTTTTCGCAACATTTTTTGCATGTTTTTTCTTGTAGAATTGTGGTGTCATAGATTCTATATCTGTTTTGTTTCTTGTGGCATACACTGCTGATAAACTTATGAACCTTATTTTTTTCTCTCTACTTATTGATGATTGTTTTATTTTGCATAAACTTTGTATAAAGCTTTATATTTCAAAAGGTAGAAGACCTGGATGCTTCATACCTTATTTTACGAAGTTTCCGTCTGTCCTTGACCTCATTTTCATAGTTCGGTAACTGCTTGAAATTAAATTACCGTTTTTTTGTCATGTGAAATACTCACTTATTATGAGTAATAGGATAACTTTATTTGGTATATGGGTTCCTTGCAAGGTATTCATGCCTGACTGGCAAGTTTCGTCTGACCTTGACCTCATTTTCATGGTTCATTAGACAATGTTTCGTTTTTGTGGTTTGGTCATATACTATAAGCAAAAAGGACACTATATTTGGTGTATGGAATGATTGTAAGGTGGACATGTCCGACTGGCAGGTTTCATCAGACCTTGACCTTATTTTCATGGTTCTTTAGACAATGTTTAGTTTTTGCGGTTTGGTCCATTTCTCAGGTTACCTTAAATTTAATTTGAACAATAAGGCCACTATATTTTGTTTATGAAGTGATTGTTAGGTGTATATGTCTGTCGTGTGACATTGTCCTCATTTTAAAGGTTCATTGGTCAATGTTCAGTATTCATGGCTTTTGTCGGTTACGGAATGATTGTAAGATATACATGTCTGTCTGGCAGGGTTCATATGACCTTGACCTCAGTTTCGTGGTTCATTTGTCAATTGTAATTTTTCGTAGTTTTGTCAGTTTATTGGGGACTATAAGCAATATGTCAACTATATTTGGTGTATGGAATGATATGTATGTAAGGTGCACATGTCTGTTTGGCAGGGTTCATCTGACCTTGATCTCATGTTCATGGATTTATGTGTTATTTGTAGTAAAACCTTCATAGTTAAGACTTTCAACATACCTTCAATCATAAGTAAAACAGGTGAGACATTTCACCATGTGCACTATTGTTACAAAGGTAAGTCTTAAAAATTGGAATCGTAGATACAAATTCCTTGTTATAGGTCAGGAAAAATCTTACTTTGTGAAAGACCACACAGATTTCAACATATGCACTGAATATATTATCAAAATGCTGAACTTTTTATCGACAACATAGTTTTAACAGACTGATGGTATTCCAATGGATACAATTTTCGCATCCTTACTTTTCGTACCTGTTTTTGTACTAATATGAAGCAAAATTCATACACGCATAACCTTCTCATTGACAAAAAAAGAAAAATAGTCTTGCTGAGTATTTTAATTTCATTTTCAAATATATATATATTAGTGATGTCCAAGCTGTCACTCAATAACCATTTTGTTTTCAAGTGAGTCTTCCAACCATCAATCATGTTAAGTCTCAGCATGTAGGGGTCAGAAAACACTATTTTTTTTAAATTTGCAAATACATTTAAAAAATTGTATGTGGAAGCATTTTTTCATTCAATCCAGACCATGGTCAGACAATTAAAAAAAAAATAAAAGAGATTTCCAATGGGGTTGCATTGGGAGTAATCTGCCACAAATTTCTGTCATGGTTGCAACTTGTTAATCATTTATGGAAGATCCATGTAGAGAGTTTGATCTTCCAATAAACCTCTAAATTTCTATAGGGAAAAGACCGACAATTTTGGTCGTTTTAATTATTTGTATATATATTTGCTGATCATTATTCCTGTTTAGCTTCTCTCTCTTCCATATTTTTCACCCAAACTGCAAAAATGGGTAAAAAAGGCCCCTGTTAAAAGGGAAATAACTTCTATAACGAGTCAACCTATGATTTTGGCAACGTTGACTTACATTATGGATTTTGTCTAGCTGGTTGTGTTGGTCTCTCCATCTATTAGAACTTTTAAGATTAAAGCAAAAATTGGTAAAAATCGTCAATTTAGGGCAGTAACTATATGGAGCTATTTGAAGATTTCAGCCATGTTGACCTATTTGTAGATCTTTTACACTATTTACATGATTTACAGTAGATCTCCATACTGTTTGTACGTTTAAAAAAGTCATGAAAGATACCAGGCTTATAATTTGGTACCCCAGATATATAAACGTGTTTCATCTATATAAGACTCATAAAATGATTAAAATCATCATTCAAGGCCAACTTCGGCCAGGTGAGCTAAATAAACAATACTACAAACTTAACCAAAGTATTAATAAGACCAAGTCTAGTTTAAATTGGTCATTTGATTTCAGAGGAGGAAAGTTTATACAAAAGAAAAATAAGAAGATGTGGTAAGATTGCTAATAAAACACCTATCCATCAGAGACAAATTGATATAGAAGATTTCAGTGACGGTTGACAATGACTGATACCAAGTGATGGTAAAAGCACATTGCCCATTCACTAGTTGACCAATTGATATTTTTTTCACATTTTAAAAAAAAATAGAGACAAAACACAAATCTGGTTTAATCAGTTTAAATTATTGTTAGCTAAAATGAGTCATAGATAATCAGAGATGACTTGTTGTTAAAGTTGTCAATTTTTTTATTTTACACTGAAAGAAGCTCTCTCTCTCCATCTTGTTTAATTGGATGAAATCTTTTCTTCTGGTCCACTGTGTTCTCAATAAGTTGTTTACGTGCCTGTGAAATGTGTGGAAGGAAGTCACATGTTCCGCTAAGACGGTTCATATCTTCATCAGAGAGACATGGTGTAAATGTCATGTGATTCAGTACCATCCAAAGCATTAAAACTGACGACATGTTTAATGTTTCGTACATTGATTTAGATGGTTCTTCATTCCACAAAGGAATTGGTTCTCCATAGTTTCTCAATAGAATGTCATTCTCACAGTCATAGATGTATATATCAAAATGATTTTCAGTTACTGCCAGTGTTGGTATCAAAGTTGATGTGAATTTTTTATTTTGCCTTTTTTGTAAAGATCTTTGGTAAAAGGAAAAAGTAATTACTTGTGAAATAAATTTTGAAATATTTTTCCTGCATCTCAGTGCTTGGCTTGTATTATTGTCATCAGAATCACTTATATCAGGTCCATCCATTTCCTCTATATGACTATTGCCATTGTTGTCTGATGGGTACACAATGTTAAAGATATCACCACCCAGTGTATATAGTTTAACATCAGGTCTGCCATAAAATAAATATTCACTCCCTGTAATGATCAAAATATGCTAAATTAATCAATAAACACAAGAAATGTCAAATAGTCAATAATGAGAAGAAATGTTCTTGTTAATGTACAGCATGTCAAATCTACGAGGTAATTTATCAAGTGTTGCATGTTGAACCAAGTTCAAAATTTATGTTAGTGTATACATGGTATAGGGAGGCCTTCAGCCTTCCTAAATATGCTAAAGACTTATTAAGTGCTAATATAAGAGTTGTTGTTGGATGGGTATTTTCTACATTGTTTGTCAAAGAGCAAGACGTATAATATATTTACTATGACTGAATTCCTCCTTTTCAAGCTAAGTTATTCATTACTCACATTGAGACTTAAAACAACTAATAATCCTGAGTATGCAGTCAAATATTTTCTAATAGATTTGTATCATTGTATGAACCAACAATTAATCAATCCAGGTTAGTGGCATTGACCATGTTGACTAAGTCAAACTTTTAATCTAAGTTTACATCCAATTTTATCAGTATCAATTTTCGTCCGCTGATTTAAGTAGAGGCTCAATTTTGTTTGATCCCTTTCAGTTTTATGCTGTTAATGTAGTGTGGGTGTCTTTCGCCATCTTGGATTTTAAAATAGCAGAACACAATAGGTCCAGATTTTCAATGTTAGCAAAATTTGATGCAGGAATGCAATTAACTAATGTGAATTTTTAATTAAATGACAAATTTATAAGATTTTAACTTATAATAACTAATATTTTTACAAATATTTATTATTCCTGCTTGAGTTTCATTTTTTTTCTCCAATTAGCCGTATTAAGGGGAGGTAGCTCTGAAATAGTATAATTTCTAAAGAAATCTACATGAAATTTTATGTTACAGCAGGAAAAAAATGTACGGAAGATGAAGACTTGGCATTGACCTGACATGTGCAGATACTAAAAAGTCCATATCTTACTTGTAAGACAAGTTTAAGATTCCACTTACTGTTGACTTGACATGAACAATAAATTATTTAGTCCATACAATGTATCTTGCCACAAGTTTTAAAATTCCACCTAGTGATTTGATTTTGATTTTTGGTGTTTTAACGCCACTTTTAAGCACCGCTTTTGGGCTATTTCGTGGCGGCCAGTTTTTATTGGTGGAGGAAGCCGGAGCGCCCGAAGAAAACCACGACCTTCGATAGGAAAACTGACAATCCTAGTCAATTAAGATTGGAGTCGAGTGCACCCGCACGAGCGGGGTTCGAACTCACAACCTCAGTGTTGACTGGCTAGTGATTACAGTAGTAACTACTTAGACCACTCGGCCACCGAGGTCCCTCCACCTAGTGTAGTACATGTATCTGTACACCAAGTTTTAAAATTTCACCTAGTGTAGTACATGTATCTGTACAGAAGTTTAAGACACCACCTAGTGTTGACTTGATATGTACAAATACTATATAATTCATATCTGTACACAAGTTGATGACTCTGCCTTGACCTGACATGTACAAAATGTTCAGATACTATAAAGTCCTTATCTTACAATACATGTAAAACAAGTTTAAGACTCCACTTACATGTACATTACTTAGTGTCTATTTGACATGTACATGTACAATGTACTACAAAGTTCATATCTTAACACAAGTATAAGACCCCATCAAGAATTGATTTGACATGCACAAGTTCTATAAAGTCCATATATGTACACATGTTTAGGACCCCACCTAGCGTCGATTAAACATACTAATACATACTATAAAGTCCATACAATGTATCTGTTCATAAATATAAGAATTAACCTACAATTGTATAGACTTCAGCTGGTACTCGTGATGATTTTGTTGTAAATATAATAGATAAGTATGTGATGTATTGAATTTAAACTGTAAGATCTTTTTAAAATTATGAATACTCATAGAGATTAAATAGTCAAACGATAGAATTATTTGAAGTTTGTTTTACCAAAGATGACCAAATTTTCAAATATTCACACATACATGTATTTGTGAGTGGGAAATAATGAGCACATGCAAGAACCACAAAAGTAAATTTACTTGAAAGGTGTTGTTCATACATTGTATAAACAAACATTCTTAAAGGTTATCAATTCAACACTGTAATTAGATCTTTAAATATTGTTTTTATTGGTATAAATAGTAATTTTGTTATCAGTAAATTAAAAACATACTAAATAGTTTTGTTATACACATATATATGCACTTAAACGGTACTACAATCTGTTGATACCTTTATTTTGACATTGCACAAAGTCATGGTTTTCTCTGACTGTTAATGATGTCTTTACACTAAATCCATTGGATGTTGGATATATACTGATTGATATTTTGGTCTTAGATACATGATTTTTTTAATTAGTTGTTATTGGCTTTGAACTAGCTGTCAGTAACTGCGAGTACTCTCAGATCTGTACTTAAGTGTCCTTTTTGTTGTCAGGGATGAGGGATGGATAAATACCCTGCCACGTCCGGTCTGTGTTTTCGTTTACTTGTTCTGCCTTGTATAGATCTGATGAGTTAAGCCTTTTTCAACTGATTTGTATAGTTTGTTCTTATGTTGTACTGTTTCAACACTGTCCCAGGTTAGGGGAGGGTTGAGGGCTCACAAACATGTTTAACCCTGCCACATTCTTTTTGTGCTTGTCCCAAGTACGGAGCCTGTAGAACAGTGGTTGCTGTTGGTTCATGTCAGTCATATTTGTTTTTTTCGTAAATTGTTTTGTTATGAATTAAGCTGTCAGTTTTCTCAATTGAATTGTTTCATATTTTTCATGTTGGGGCCTTTTATAGCAGTATGAGTTTTTCTCATTGTTGAAGCCGTACAGTTGCCTATAATTGCTTACATCCACTTCATTTTAACTCTAGTGGATAGTTGTCTCATTGGCAATCATACCACATCTCCTCATTTTTATATAAATAGAAATCTTAAACTCAAAAAGTTCTAAATTTCAGTAAAAAATTACACAAAAATATTTAAGGCCCTTAAAAATTAAAGAAATGCATTTTGTTCTTTTGCAAACTAATGTTTTCAATATTATTTCTGTTTGTCACAGTATCAGTGGATTGCTGTCTCACTGATATTTATCTCTTATCTCCCTTTAATTACACTTACCAATTCCAGTATTTCCTAAAAGTATTTCATCATCACAATATCTGCAAGGACAAATCTCAAACTTTGACTTGTCAGTATTGTTATTGGCTACAAATCTTAAATATCCCCCGACAGATGTAAGCCTGGAGAATAGGTGATTTGTTAGGATAGTTGTGATGTATAATTCTTCACGGATCTGATTTGGTAAATAACGAACTTTCTGAAGGCACATTTCATGAATTTCTGAAAATTAAGAAAATGCATAAATAAAATTATTTAGGAATGTTATATATTTGTAGTAACCTTGTCAGTAATTTAATTGAATAGGATATAGTTAAGTATTTAAATTTCTTAATTAATATAAAAATTAATTTGAATTCAAACATGTTAAAAAAACATTGTTAAGAGCAAGCTTATATATTGCTTACATTGAAGTATAACAAATTTACAGTTAAGTTTTCAAAGACCAAGGAAGTAAAACAATACTAATATCTGGACTTCTCTAAAATATTTTGTTGTAAATTTTCAATTTTTTTTTCAAAGGAGTAAAGCCATGATCAGCTACAATAAATGGCTCTGTAAAGGTTTTTTTTTCAAACTTCAAATGTTTTGGTAAATTTTAATGAGATTTATGTATTACTTCTAAAGTATTAACGTATAATAAGAAAAAGTGTATATCAGCTTCATATATATTATTGTGTCAATTATCAAAATCATTGTAATAAATTACTTTGTTATTCATGGGCCCTTTAATTGAAATAAAAAATATTTTATCTTATCTTTTTTTATATATACAAATAATCTGATAATATCTATGAATTGACTATATGAACTATATAGCAAATTTCCCAGACATAAAAATAAACTTGAGCATGTTTTATGAATGAACTGCTCTGGCCATGGTTGACCTGGTGTCATTCTGGGGAAATGTGTCAGGACATTATGACTTTAAGATACTTACTTTGTGCATGTTGTGATGTCAAATTAATCAAGGATCATGGACTTATTGGAAGGTCCAGTATTAAATGCATGTATGTATATATATATACATGGTATAGGTAAAGGGTTATTTTTGTGCAACGTGTTTGCAATGTATTTCACAAGTTTTCGAACTTGAAGTTATTCTCCGTCATGACCGTGTATTCAGTGCAAATTGAGAAAAAAGCTTTTTTTTTATTTTCGTATATTCTAAAAAGACCATTTTACTTCCTGTTCTTCCGTACACATACAACTCTCATGAATGAGTGTAATAGAAACATAATAAATGAGACTGACACCTCAGAGTGGCTCAGACTACACTGTACATGTAACTTTTTTACATATTGTACATGTACTTCCTACATTTTTTCCTACAAACATTGTACATTTTGTACATGAAATGTACATCATCATGATCATATTTTTAAGTGACATCTTTTTCTTGATTGCAATATATGTACCTTTCTCTGGTATAAATCCATACTTCAATATATCAGTGATAATTTTTATTCTAGGATTCCATCCTTCATCAACATACTCATCTTTCAGAGCCCTGAAACCTTTTTTAAATATGGAAGAAAATTTTGCGTTTGGAGTAAAAAGTGGACTTTTGCGTTTTTCTTCGTTAAAGTTCACAAAGATTCCGTTATTATCTTCACTGTATTGTGAAAAGTCAATATGTGCATCCTGATAACTTGTCCCCAACACAAATCCATTTATACGATATGGTGCAAGTTCAACATCATCAAAATTGTCAAGACTGTCCCTAATGTAGCTGTCTATATCATTTTTAGTTAACCTTTTAACACTGTGTGTTGTGTTTGAAAAAGAGCAAAAATTTAAAACTGATGATACTAGCCGTAGAGAGCGTGTATATCTAGTTCCACAGACATTCATCGCAGAAAACCGATTTTGGCTCATAACAGAGAATTCGTGTGTAGGGGAATGAAACTACTTTTTTATTGCCAAATCCTTCTTGTCTGACTAACCACAGTCAAGCATGCCGATGTGAGCGGACGTGAAAATTTTTGCAGAGAGAATCCTTCAACATCATTGAAATTGTTTTGTCAAATTTGTTTCATGGATAAATATTATGAATTGTAGTTATCTCGTACCATTGCAAACTCGTACCACTAAATACAAACTCGTACCACTGTAAACTCGTACCACGGTAAATTCGTACCTTTGCCAACTCGTATCAACTTATTTAAATGCATTCAAATGTGTTTAATGATGAATAAATATTCAAATTTCACTCAATACCTCTTAATAGATATAAGAAGATGTGGTATGAGTGCTAATGAGACAACTCTCCGAGCCATCCAAGTCAAAATTTATAAAAGTAAACCATTATAGGTCAAAGTAGGGTCTTCAACACGGAGCCTTGGCTCACACCGAACATCCAGCTATAAAGGGCCCCAAAAATTACTAGTGTAAAACAATTCAAACGAGAAAACCAACGGTCTAATCTATATAAAAAACGAGAAACACTGATGAACCACATAAACAAACGACAACTACTGAACATCAGATTCCTGACTTAGGAAGTCTTTTATATGTATATGATTTGAAATCACAATGACCAATTTGTAGCTGATTTTTCCCTGACTAATCGGATAAAGAAAACTGTGGCAGATTGGCTTTGTTGTCTCCCTTGAACAGTTCCATTATTTAACTTTTACTGACAACTATTTGATTTAATTTTTAATCATAACAAATTGAAAACAACACGTTTAATAATTTCATGCGTCCGAAGTGCTTTTCTGGATTTACCTTCATCAGGAACGCTCAAAGCCAAACATTTGAAATCCGAGGGATGTATAAGTACCGAAACAGTTGAAGAGCTATATGACAAAAATACCTAAAACAAATAGCCAAATTCATCTAAGGTTGACTGTGCCTAAGGGAGTTGAAACCTTAGTTTCTTTATAATTTCAAAATTTAACAACAGACAATTTTAGAAAGGTTTGTTATAAATCATGTCAGTACCGAAGTACTGACTACTGAGCTGATGATACCCTCGGGGACTGATAGTCCACCAGCAGAGGTACCGACCCAGTGATGTAAACAATTGAAAACAACACGTTTAATAATTTCATGTGTCCGAAGCGCTTTTCTGGATTTACCTTCATCAGGAACGCTCAAAGCCAAACATTTGAAATCCGAGGGATGTATAAGTACCGAAACAGTTGAAGAGCTATATGACAAAAATACCGAAAACAAATAGCCAAATTCATCTAAGGTCAACTTTGCCTGAGGGAGTTGAAACCTTAGTTTCTTTATAATTTCAAAATTAGAAACATTGAATAGCTTTTGGTATTTACAATTGTTTCTTAATGAATTTTATTTGTTGATAAAATTTATTTATCGTGTTTTGAAAAATTTAAAATCGTTTATGACCAAAATTTAGAAAGTATAAAATTGATTTATATATAATATTCAGCACCTTGTTGAATTAGGAAGACCATGCATCTACTACATGGACACGTAAAATGTATAAAATTTATTATTTTAGATAATCGTTTAGCTAGAGTTTAGTTATTAATTTATAATGAAAGCATAATAAGCTTATAGGTCTCCATTGTTTTAGGTCTTTTTTTATCCCCTTTGTTTTTATAATTTAACGTGATTGACAATAAACATTATACAATTAATTCCCAGCTGTTAAATTATATAACAACAATCATAATTTAATATAATAGGATTAAACAAGTTGATTAGTTAAGCCGAGTTATCTAGCAGCGACACCTGTTAGTTTTTGCATTTTGTCTGTTTTCGTTTTTGACCTCTGTTCTATTTTTTTATCGTTTTTTTTTTTTATTTTTATGTCTGTTTTCGTTTTGATGTCTGTTTTTTATTTTAACGTCTGTTTTTTTAATTTTATATAAAATAAGAAGATGTGGTATGATTGCCAATGTGACAACTCTCCACAAGAGACCAAATGACAAAGACATTAACAACTATAGGTCACCGTACGGTCTCCAACAATGAGTAAAACCCATACCGCATAGTCAGCTATAAAAGCCCCGAAATGACAAACGTAAATCAATTAAAACCAGAAAAACTAACGACCTGATTTATGTAAAAAAAAAAAACAATGAACGAAATACAAAATGTGATATACAGCAACAAACGAAAACCACTGAATTACAGGCTCCTGACTTGGGGCAGGCACAAACAGAATGTGGCGGGGTTAAACTAGTTTAACTACTGTTTTCGTTCATGACGTCTGTTTTCGTTTTTGACCTCTATTTTTAGTTTTTAAACGTCTGTTTGTACATTTTTTATGTCTGTTTTTGTTTTTGAAGTCTGTTTTTGGTTTTAACGTCTGTATTTAAAATTTGGTTCAATTTTTCCCGAATGGCTGCCCAAAGTAATATATTACGACCAGACGACATATATAATCCAGTGGCGGATCCAGGGGGGGGTTCCGGGTGTTGGAACCCCCCTTTTTTTGGACGATCAATGCATTTGAATGGGGAGATATAGTTGGACCCCCCCCCCTTTTATCCTGGGTTAGGAACCCCCCTTTTATAAATGGCTGGATCCGCCCCTGTTACAATCATATATATAACGCCGTTGTATAAATTTCAATAAAAGATGGTGGAGGAAGGTTTATTTGTTTATGTATCTTTGATTTGTGTATTTGTGAATTGTGACGATTTGGACAACGAACGTTAGCTAGCAAGAAACTTAATGATATTATCATTAGTTTAAGTGCATTATACAATACAGTATGTTTGCATTCAAACAATAGTAGTGATGTAGTTTATGTTTTATGTATTAGAGAGGGTTAATATTCTATTGTATTATACCTCAGTATGTTTTTCTATATAAAAAATAATGAAATATTTGTGCTATTTCATTTCACAGACTATTTGCCGGTCATTAGTTTCAAAGACTATTACCCCGGTCAATAGTTTTATGAACATATTTCCCGGACTTTTTCATATTAATTTTTCATTGGACAACAATGACGTCATTGACTATTCTGCTTGGATTTGTGCGCTTGGCGACGTTAAACTTTGAAATATCGTAAACGGTATAATATGTATGTGTTATTTAAGAACTAATTCATGGGGGCTTGAATATATCGTGATTTTACCACGGGTTGGCACTTTATGCTAAATATTTTACCCTGAGCGATAGCGAGGGGTAAAATATCAGCATAAAGGGACAACCCGTGGTAAAATCACGATATATTCGAGCCCCCATGAATTATTTCGATTCTAATAGGACAAATACGGCAATTCTTTTGGATCAAAGCGCTCTAGGTGAAGGCAAATATTTGCCGTTCCCATAAACAAACGCACTATTCAATTGACGTAAAAGAACGGAGCAAACTGAATTAGTGACATGCTTAAACTATTTACAATAATGTATTTAAATAGGTTAGGACGAATTTAAATAAGAATTTTATTTATATGTCTAATATGTATTTAAAAAAAAAATGGATTATAACACATTTTAGCATCGTTTGTTTACGTTTCCTTGTTGTGATGATTTTCGGTTTCACATTTTCATTTTCCCATAAAATCCTCATATTCTTACGTAATCGTTGTATGCCGTCGGGTAGCTCATTCATAAAAAAGCATATGACGTGGGAGTACGATCGGAACAGCCCAAACAATATATTCATATTTTACCACGGGTGTGTACTCAAAGCGTATGAAGAACGTCATGTTAGAATTCAAATTAATATATTACTTACCAGAAGCAATAAAAAAGGAAAAAGTAAAACATAACATATGTATGGTATGGGGTTGTCGTCGTCTTCATAATCTGGGATTGCTTTGGTGTACGGTAATATATGATAGCTAGCGTTTATTATATGCACGGGAATTTTTACACAAGGATTCCTGGTCTTAATTACAGTAAATAAAATATTGACAAATACCACACAAGCAAAAAAAAAAAACCCTGATAGTTCACCTTGTACATGTTTATGTGACTATTGGGTTTTTTTCCAAGTGGTGTATATAGTCTTTTTAGAATGTTGTTTTGTTCGGTATATTAAAACTCTTACTGACTGGTTATGAGTGTATTAGCAAGTTTGTTGTTCCTTTGAAACTATATAGAAACGGTATAATCTGTATGTATAAAAAAGAAGATCTGGTATGATTGCCAATGAGACAACTCTCCACAAGAGACCAAATGACACAGAAATTAACAACTATAGGTCACCGTACGGCCTTCAACAATGAGCAAAGCCCATACCGCACTGTCAGCTATAAAAGGCCCCGAAATGACAATGTAAAACAATTCAAACGAAAAAAATAACGGCCTAATTTTTGTACAAAAATGAACGAAAAACAAATATGTAACACATAAACAAACGACAACCACTGAATTACAAGCTCCTGACTTGGGACAGGCACATACATACAGAATGTGGCGGGTTAAACATGTTAGCGGGATCCTAACCCTCCCCCTAACCTGGGACAGTGGTGTAACAGTACAACATAAGAACGAACTATAAAAATCAGCCGAAAGAGGCTTAACTCATCAGATGGATAAAAATACAAATACTACAAACACAAGTGGACGTGGCCGAGTACTTGTACATCCAAACAACAAAAAGACACTAAGTACAGATCTGAGAGTACTCGCAGTTACTGACAGCTAGTTCAAAGAAACTAACAACTAATAAAAAAAATCATGCATCTAAGACTAAATTATCAATCCGAACACATCCAACATCCAATGGATTTAGTGTAAAGACGTCATAAACATTCAATAAAAACATGACCTTGTGCAATGCAAAGATACATGTATCGACAGATATAGATCCATCAATGTGTTTATGTATATAACAATAATATTTAGTTTGCTTTTAATTTACTGATAATAAAATCAATATTAGTACCAATAAAAACAATATTTAATGATCTAAATTAAATTACAGTGTTGAATTGGTAACCTTTTAGAAT